TCCAAAAAACCTCCTTGCGAGGATTCTCACTCCTAAAAAGCCACCTGATCCCTTGTGGGTACGGGCACGGTGTGATTCCCAGAGATATCCCAAAGCTCGGGAACTCTGAGGATGTGCCAGCAGGGAGTTTAGGAGTTCCACTGTCCAAGCCAAACACAGTAGCAAGGAGGTGGGTCACCCAAAAAAATCCCTTCCCCTGCAAGGATGAGGAGCTCCCAAAAAAAAAAAAAAAAAAATCCCAAACGTAAATGCGGGGGAAGAGCAGATTAAAAGCGGTTCAGTAAGTGTAAAAGCCACCCAAATAAAGCCGCGGGGACACGGGAAGGAAAAGACATAAACGAGCAAAACTTAATTTCATTGTGTGATGAAATAAAGGGGGGGGGGAGAAGAAATGAAACACATTAAAAAAAAAAAGGGGCAAAAAAAGGCGGCAGCCGAGACAATAATTCGGAGTTTCCCGAGCAGACATCCGGGTGTCTCACGGCGGGTAACGGTCCCCGCTCACCCCGGGGGCTGCGGGGGCTCCCGGGGGGCCGCGCTGGCCACGGGGGATGTGATGGCCACGGGGGCATTGTAGTGGCCACGGGGGATGATGTAGTGGCGTGTGGGGGGGTGATGGCCATGGGAGGCTGAGGAGGGGGCTGTGATGGCCAGAGGGGCTGCTGAGGGGCTGCGATGGCCGGGGGCGGCTGACAAGGAGGACTGCAGGGGGCCTCTGAGGGGCTGTGATGGCCGGGGAAGGGACTAGAGGGGGCTCTGAGAAGTCAGGGGGTGTGTGTGGGGGTGGTGGTGTGCAGGGTGCTCTGAGGGGATGCGTGGGGGTGCTGTGGGAGGGTGTGACGGGTGGCGGGGCCGTGGGAGGATGCTGGGGGCGGGGGAGGCTGTGATGGCCGGAGGGGGTGCGGGCTGCGAGGGGATCCGAGGGGGCTGTGAGGGCCGCGGTCGTGCTCGGTGTGGGGCGTGGGGCGGCCGGAGGGGCTGTGCGGGTGCTCTGAGGGGGCTGCCACGGCCATGGCGGGGGGAGCGCGCTGGGAGGGCGCGACCTCCGCGGGGGGCGCGGGCGCGGCCGAGCGGGGCAGAAGCGAGCGCGGCGGGCACCCCCACACACACACGGACACACACACAGCTCGGACGGTACCTGGCTGGCCGGAGGGATGGATGGCGGTCCGTGGGCGGGCAGCCGCCCGCCCGCTCGCTCGGTGCCGGGGCCGGGGCCGCCTTTCTCCGGCGCCGGCTCAGCCCGGCCCGCGAACCGCGGGAGGCGCCGCCCCCGCCCGGCTGTGCGCGCGGGAGCGGGGGGGGCTCTGCGCCTGCGCGGCACGGCCCCGGGTGGGCCCGGGGAGTGAGGGGGAATGAGGGGAGAATGGGGAAAAGAGGGGGAATGGGGAGTGAGGGGAGAATGGGGAAAAGAGGGGGGAATGAGGGGAGAATGGGGAAAAGAGGGGGAATGGGGAGTGAGGGAGGAATGGGGAGTGAGGGAGGAATGGGGGAATGAGGGGGAATGAGGGGAGAATGGGAAAAGAGGAGAATGGGGAAAGAGGGGAGAATGGGGAAAGAGGGGGAATGGGGAGTGAGGGGGAATGGGAGCGAGGGGGAATGGGGAAAAGAGGAGGAATGGGGAGTGAGGGGGAATGAGGGGAGAATGGGGAATGAGGGGCAATGGGGAGTGAGAGGGGGGAATGAGGGGATGGTCCTGAAGGGAGAATGGGGGTGAGAGGGGGAATGGGGAGTGAGGGACGGTCCATGGGGAACTGGGAGAATGGGGAGTGAGGGGAGACTGGGCAGAAGAGGGGGGGAATGGGGAGTGAGGGGATGGTCCGGGGAACTGGAAGAATGGGGAGTAAGGGGGGAATGGGGAGTGAGGCGATGGTCCTGGGGCATAGTGGGGGAATGAGGGGGAATAGGGGAGTGAGGGGCTGGTCCGGAGGAGCAATGGAGGAATGAGAGGATGGTCCTGAGGGAAAATGGGGAGGAGTGAAGGAGGGAATGAGGGTGAGAGGGTGAAAGATGGGAGTGACGGGGATATGGGGGTGAGTGAGGGGAAAGGGGTGAGTGGGAGGAAAAGGTAGTGAGGGGGGAAAAGGGGGTTGAGTGAGGAGGAAGGGGTGAGTAAGGGGGACGTGGGGGTGAGAGAGGGGAAAAGAGGTGACTGTGCAGAGTGATGGGGGAAAGGAGGTGCGGGACGACGATATGGGGGCAAGGGGGAGTGAGGGGGAAAGGGATTTAGAGGGTTATGGAGCGGGTGAGGGGGAAACGGGGTGAGTGAGGGGAAAAGGGACAAGTGTGGGGAAAAGGGGTAAGGGGGGAGCGAGGGGGGGAAAGGAGTGAATGAGAGGCAAAGGTCTGAGCGAGAAGGAAAGGGTCTCTCCCTGCGTGTCGATCCAGACCAATACACAAAATGAAGCTTGGCCCAAGCCCCGGGGAGTGTAACAGCTCCTCAGGACACAGTTTCATCGGGCAACAATAAAAACACCGTCATTCTTCTGCCATCCTCCTCCCAAACGCGCCCTCTGGCACCTTTTGATAAGGAGCGCTGGATGTTTTGCAGCCACCAAGGCCGAGGGCTGTGAGCAGAATATTTGATTGTGTACCAGTTGGCCCGAACACCCAGTCCAGCCCTGGCACTCAGGAAGGTCTGTCCTGGTTTTTTGCTGGTCTGGAGTTGATTTTGTCGTTCTCTTGTTCATTTTCAGGGGTTCTGGGAAGGTTTGGAACTGTGCAGAAAACGGGATCTCTGGAAGCTGAGTGCCCTGTGCCACCACACAGGGGCTGTGGGGCCAGGATGGGTTTGCCTCCATCTCTGCTCAGTCACTGGCAGCACATTTCATAGCTATTATAGGTGTATTTATTTTACTATTATTTTATTTATAAATAATTATCAATCACAATTCTTATTAATCATACTCTTAATATAAATTTTATATTTTATATGTTATAATTTTATAGCATAATAAATTTAATTATAATAAAGTATGTTAATACTGTTAATATATTGATAATAAATTAATATATAATGTTAATAATAAATTTTAAAATTAAACACATCTAGAAATAATATCGTTAATAAATTAATAGAAGTTACTTTGTAATTTTTAATTATGATACATTTCTTATGTTATTATTATAACATTATTAATATTATATATATTTGAGTTCCTGTGAAGGAAACTGGTCAAGGTTTGTCCCTACAAGCAGCAGGATCCTGAGTGAAATCATTCTGTGAAAGAAAATGTGTCATGTAGGATAAATCTGCGTGCAGGTGACCCTTCTCCACAAATACATGGGGATACCAGGAAATGGGAAGATTTACTTCTTTAAATCAAAGTAATTTCTTTTTTTGTTCTAAGGGATAGGTCTGTAATTCTTCCAAAGCTCAGGCCAAAACAAATTATGAAGCATAACATTTTAAGGGTAGCTGGAGGTTCCTTTTGGGTGATACAGGTTGTTAAGGGGAGGAAAATGCCCCTTGAATCCTTGGTGATGCTACACACAGTTGTGAGCTTGATCCCAGGAAATGTGTGAGGAAGGGACCGGGAAGACCCCCAAGAGCAGCAGCCCAGACCCCTTGGTGGACACAGGGAGGATTTCTCAGCTTGGGGCCCACTGAGGATCATAAATTATGGAGTTGTAAAGGCTGGAAAAGCCCTCCAAGACCATCAAGTCCAACCCTTCCCCAGCAGTGCCAAGGCCACCACCGACCCCTGTCCCCCAGTGCCACATCCACAGGGCTGTTGAATCCTTCCAGGGATTAGGGACTCCACCCCTGCCCTGGGCAGCTGTGCCAGGGCTGGACAATATTTTTTGTGAAGGAATTTTCCCAACATCCAACCTAAACCTGTCCTGGCACAGCTGGAGGCTATTTCCTCTCCTCCTGTCCCTGTTCCCTGGGAGCAGAGCCTGAATCCCCCCGGCTCCCCCTCCTGTCAGGGAATTCCAGAGCCAGAAGATCCCTCCTGAGCCTCCTTTTCTCCAGGCTGAGCCCCCCCAGTTGCTCTCAAACACAGAGCACTGTGGATTAGGATTTCCCTTCCCCAGGAAATCACAGGTTTTTAGGACAACCAGACCCCTGAAATTTGTGGAGAACATCAGCCCGTATTTGCTGAGCCCACCCCAGCTTTGAGGCCGTCCTGCCTCGTGGTCCTGCTGCTCCTCTCCCTCATTGCCTCACCCTCCAGCAGAGCCTGGGCTGGCTTCGTGGATGGGCCACCCAGGAGCACAAATGACACAGCCCACGAGCTGCGAGGGCCCTGACAGGAGATGTGACATCAGACACGGGAGGGAGGGACACGTGAGCTGAGGCTGTTTATTAGAGCTGAGGGGAGACAATTCCTACGGGAGACACAGAGCTGGGGGCAGACTGCAGAACATGGACAAATCCTGCTCCTTGGAAGGCCATCAGGAACGCTGCAACCATCCAGGAACTCTGGGAATACATTCTTTCTGCAGCTTATCTTCTGCTTTGGTACTTGAAACGATCGATACCCCCTGACCCTGGTGGAGCAGGGACTGTACCAGTCCTTCCCCACGGCTGGCAATGGGCCCAGCAAGGAACTTCTGGCCGTGGTTTTCATCCATTCTTCCCTGGGAGGGTGGGCAGGCCCTGGCACAGGCTGCCCAGAGAAGCTGTGGCTGCCCCTGGATCCCTCGAAGTGTCCAAGGCCAGGTCTGGTGTCCACCTGATCTAGTGGGAGGTGTCCCTGCCCCTGGCAGGGGGTGGAACTGGCTGGGCTTTAAGGTCCCTTCCCACCCAAACCATTCTGGGATTGATTCCTGATGCTTCCCATGAGAACAGAGTAAGTCTGGATGCTTTTAAGACACAGAGGCTGACTTCCAGGATTTGGCATCCAGCATTCCAAGCCTCTGAATTCAGAGCTAAAATGACACCATTCTGATTTCTGGGAGTGGAATTTAGTTCAATTCTGTGAGTGAGCATTTGTGCTGTAAATAATTCACAGCAATGAGGGGCACTGGGGGGGGAGGGTGGGGAGGGGGACACTGGGATTTCAGTGGAGCTCTTTTTGGGAGAGGGAATGGAGACACCTGCCCTCAGAGTTGGGTTAAAAAAGACAGTGTTATCTTCCCAAACAGGCAGCACTGGAGAGGAGGCAGAAGAGGAATTAAAGCTGACACACAATTAGAGTACAGCCACTCTGCCAGTGCTCCTGGAATCCCATGGAAAGCAAATGGAAATCAGGCAGAAGCTATTCCTAGGCTGAATTTGGGGGGGAAAGCAGCAGAAACAGGCTTTTGCTAAGAACTAAATTCAAACCCTTCCCAAGAATCCAAATTTAGTGTTGAAGGCTCTCAGTTGCCCATGTGGCAGCTCCCACAGCCCGGCTGCACGTGGGAAAGAAGGAAAAAGAGAACCCAAAAAGGCTTGTGGCAACGAGCTCCCATAAACCTGAGGAGCTCTGCCTGACTCCCAGCACCTTTGGAAAACCCGATCTTTGAGGATGAGGCTGCCCTGCCTCGTTGCCATCGCTGTCTCCGTGCAGGTGACGGTGACAGGGGCTGAACTCACTCGTGGCCAGGGGGCAGCGAGAGGGGAAAGAACTGCAGGAAAGCAGGAGCAGCAATTCTGCTGTCTTGGCCAGTCAGGAGCTGCCAGCTCTATTCCAGCGCTGCTGGGGACTTCCAGAGCCTTCCCAGCTCTGCAGAACCCTGGAAGCAGAGAAGGAGCAGGTGAGCACACGGAGCAGGGTGAATGGAGGTCAGTGGAGCAGGGATGGCCTCACCAGTCACATCACATTAGAAGGAACAGGGAGCAGTGAGGCAGGAGCCTCTTTCCCTCCTCCTCCTCCTGTCAGCAGCAGGAGGACAGGAGGCCTCCACCACCCAGTGCAGGAGCTGCCATGGTGCTTCCTGCCCCTTCCAGCTGATCAGACAAAACCAAACCACATCCAGCCCACTGATCCGCTGGCAGAGTGTCCAACTCCAGTTCTCCCAAAGGTTTTCCTCTCAAAGGATCTTTACACAAAGGAGTAGCTGTGCCTGCCACCGAAGTGCTGCTCCTTGTCAGAGGAATGTTACAGCTCCCAACCACCCACAGCAGGTCAGCCCAGGACAGGTCCCAGGGAGGGACCTTTCATCACCTCCCAAGGGGACTCTCTGCCTCTGACAGACATTTCTGTCACCACTCGAGCCAGCCCCTGCCTGTCACCCCCGGCAAGCTGTTTGTCACCAAGATTCTGGCTCCAACTAAGACATCCCCCCACCAGGACAAGCTCCAATTCTGCAACAAGGTCACTGCTTCCCACTAAAGGGAAGATCCCAGAGTGGATCTCCCAGGGTTTAAATGCCCTTCAAGTCAGGGAGCTCTGAGCTCTCACACCCTGCTGGCCCCAGAAAGGGGCACTGCAAACTCACCTAGAAGAGCTTCTCGTAGCACTTGTCACAGTGGACGATGTCCCGGTGGATGAATATTTTATCCAGAAGATCTCCCATCGCTTTGTGGCAAATTCCACACTGCCAAAGGGAAAACAAGGAAGTTGGACAGCAACCAAAGGCCCACACAGTAAGGACAGCAGGGAGGGAACAATCTCTGCCTCGGTTTATAAGGGAGGGAGGGTGTGACCTTTGAGGCTGAGCAGCCAAATGGCCCTGGAGGCCTCCTCCTCCCACCCTCCCCATCCCTCCTCTTCCCACCCTCCCCATCCCTCCTCATCCCCACAGGCTTTCCTGGTAAACTCTGCAAGCTCTGAGGCTTCAGCCAGCCCTCTGCTGGGGCACAGAGGCCACCAAGCAGCAAGTCTGCCCCAGGGACAGGGACAAGAGGGTGTCCTGAGGGTGCTGCTAATGATAAAAGAATTCTCCTTGTTGTAACACAGATTTATTTCAGCACCTGAGAAACTTCTGGGGACACAACCAACACCTGAGGCTTTGTTTGTCCCGATGCCACGCAAGGATTTGGCACACATGCTGGATCCATCGCCCTGCCAGCCTGAGGATGGAATTGGCCCCAAGATCCTCCCTCCCCCTCCATTGCCAGCAGCTCAGGGGAGCAGCAGAGAGGTTTACCCTGAAGCAGTACTCGTGGCAGTGGATGTTCAGGTGCTCTATGATGATCTTGGGGCAGTCTCGGATCTCGCGGCTGCAGTAACTGCACACGGGGTCACTGGACCTGGGGAGGACAGAGGGATGGATTCATCTGCAACACCAGCTGTTTCCAGTCCCAGCACTGTGCCAGAGGCTTTTACCAACCCCTGTGAGCAACCTGCTCCCACGTGTGTCCAGTGGCAGTGCAGAGGGACATGAGCTGTCCCAGGGGGGCAGAGACCACACCAGCAGGGCAGGACAGATCTTGGAATCATGGAGTGGTTTGGGTTGGGAGGGACCTTAAAGCTCATCTCTTTCCACCCCCCTGCCATGGGCAAGGACACCTTCCACTAGCCCAGGTTGCTCCAAGCCCCATCCAACCTGGCCTTGGACACTTCCAGGGATGGGGCAGCCACAGCTTCTCTGGGCAACCTGTGCCAGGGCCTCCTCACCCTCCCAGCAAAGAAATTCCTCCTAATTACCAATCTAAACCTACTCTCTGTCAGTTTGAAGCCATTCCCTGTGTCCTGTCACTCCAGGCCCTTGTAAATAGTCTCTCCATCTTTCTTGCAGGCTCCCTCCTGGTACTGGAAGGCCACAATTAGGTGACCCCAAAGCTTCTCTTCTCCAGGCTGAACAATCCCAGCCTTTCCTCCCAGCAGAGCTGCTCCATCCCCTCTGATCCCCTTCCTGGCCTCCTCCGGCCTCTCTGACTTCAAGTGAACGTCCCTGTATTTTCCAAAGATCCCTCCAATGCCGCTGTTTCATCAACCCCCCCCCTCAATATCCTCAAAAAGCAAACCCTTCAGGTCATTTCTGGGTCAGGGTTTGCTGAGCCCCCCAAGGCAGCCCCGACCTGTCCTACCTGTGCAGGGGAGCACTGGCCAGGTAACTGTGGTGGCTGTAGCTGCCTCTGTCCACATCAGTCAGATCCACAAGGCTGCCACTGGAGATGGAGAAAATCCAGGAAGAGAATCTCAGCTGGAATCATTAATCATGAACCCAGGGATGTGGAATGTCCCAGCACCTCTCCTTCCCAGAGGGTCGGCACAGGACACAAGGAAGGACATTTAATCACCTTTAATTACGACTCTGCACCTCTAAGGGACATTGGGAACATCCTGGAGGAGGGGAGAGAGCAGGAGGAAACACTTTCTTTCCCTGCTCCATTGGTCAGTGTGGCCCTTTCCATCAGGGCTGGTTAGGGGGTGATGGGGATCCCACTCCAGGAGCTGGGAAATGCAGCTCAGGAAGGGACTGAGAAGAACCAAAACCGTGGGCAGTGCAAGTTCCCTCTGCTCTCTCCCTTCTCCAGTATATTCCAAACCCCACACTCCCACCCCTTGCCAGCCATCAGACCCCTCCACCAACCAGGTTATCTCATTAAAACGTCAGAAAAGGCAGGATTAGGTGGGCTGGGAGCAGGGAAACAAAGAGGGGGAACATATTTTCCAACATATTTTCCACTGGTAAAATCCTGCACTGGTGGCTGGACCAGCAAACCTGTGAAATCCTGCCTCCAAAACACTCACCAGCAACACTGCTCTGGCTGTTTCCACCTGGCCCCTGGAAACAGGACCTGTTTTCATTGCTCACTGAACTCCCAAATCCCACCCTGTTCTGCAGGAAAAGGCAGGGAGCACATCCCGAGTCTCACCCAGCCGAGTGTTCCCTCCCTGCCTGGCTTTCCCGGATCTTTGGCTTCTCTTGGGCTGCTGACAGCAGCTTTGCTGAGCTGGAGATCTCCAGGCTGTCATCAGCTGCCCCAGGAATGCCAGCACAGCGCTGAGGGAGGATCAGTGCCAGCAGGGAGGCATCAAACTGGGGTTAACTGGTGCCCCATCACCGGAAGGATGATTTACATCGGGCCAAACCCCGGTGCCAGCCCGGGGCAGCTTCGCTCAGTTACCTTCGTGCAGAACACAAAAGACTCAAGATTTAAGCTTGAAAACAGCCTAATTTAACTTTTTTAAACTCATTTTGGAGCGAGAAACCCCAGTCTCCACATTTTGCTCACCGATTCCAATGGTTTGTTTACGTGTTCAGGTGCCCAGTGAAGCCTCACGGCGGCCAAATACGCAGCCTAAAAACCTGCAGGGGGGTGTTTTCATCCACCTCAGAGACCAACCCGCTCCAAGGGGAGCTCCCCTGACCGCTGGGAGCGCTGGGACAGTGGGATGAGATCTCACAACGGGATCCCAATTGGTCCTCACCCCGCAAAACTCTGCTTCCCCAATCATCCCCTCAGGGCTAATTAACTCAGGAACTGCGAGTGCTCCAGCCCCTGGAGCCGGCTGGGAGGTGAGAGCTGGCAAAGCCACGTGCTGGGCCGCGCACACGTGTGTGTGACATGTGTGTGACATGTGTGTGACACACGAGTGTCCCCCGGCCACTCCTCGTACCTTCCGTAGCGCGGGGAGGCTGAAAACCCGCCGGTGTTCACGTACTCCTTCACAAAGAGGATCCCCCTCCTAAGGAACCAGAACGGGAAGCATTTGCATGAGAAAAGAGCGGAGCTGCCGAGGGACCACGTGTGTGTGTGCCGGGACAGCGGGACAAGACGCCGTTGTCCTGGGATAATTCCCGGAGAGCAAGCACTGCCGCGAAAGAACACCTAATGCGCTCCTCTAATTACCCCACCAAAACAAATCAAGTTAATTAGGAAGAATGGGATGCATAATGGAACCCTTTCATCCAGTTATCCGCCGGTTTTGCCGGGATAAAGTCTCCCCCAGGATAAAGTCTTCCCCAGCTCGCGTCAGGATTATGCACATTGAGCACTCAGAGAGCTCGTGGTTGTGCCCGCGGGCACCAAACCCGACTGGCACGGCGCTGCTTCCCGGGGCTGTTCTTGCCTCTGGAATATCCCCGCTGTTTTCAGCCAGCGCTGGTTTGTCTGGGGATGGTTTGGCTCTCTTTGCACATTCATATCTCTCCCGGTGTCAGAATTCCATGCCCCCCTGTGTTCGCCGCTGTGCCCGCTGAGCTCTGCCCTGTGCCCCCAGCTCCGCCTGCAACCACGGCACGGACTCATCGGGCTCTCTCCCCACGGGGCATTTTCACTGCTGCCTCAAAGCTACAATTAATCCTCCCTTCTTACACGAGCAAACTATGCCCTGGCACAGCTGAGGAAAGAGAAGCTTTGGTGGTTTTTTTTTTTAATTGAGAAAAGACACTTTCTGTGTCATAGAGACACGAATCCCAGAATGGTTTGGGTTGGAGAAGATCATCTAAAAGGACCTTAAAACTCATCTTGTTCCATCCCATGGGCAGGGACACCTTCCACTAGCCCAGGTTGCTCCAAGCCCTGTCCAGCCTGGCCTGGGACACTTCCAGGGATGGGGCAGCCACATCCCAGCTGCTCTGGGAAATCCATTCCAGCACCTCCCCACCCTCACAGGGAAGAATTCCTTCCTTAAGACACTTTCATCTCTAATATGGAATATTGATGGGGAGCTGGGTCTGAGCTACTGAATAACTTTAGATACAATCCCAGGATTGTTAAGGTTGGAAAAGATCACCGAGTCCAACCATCAGCACCACCACGGTCACCACTCACCCACCTTCCCAGGTGCCACATCCACATATTGTCTGAACACTTCCAAGGGATGGGGACTCCACCCCTGCTCTGGGCAGCTGTGCCAGTGATGGACAGTGCTTTCCATGATGAAATTTTCCCTGATATCCAACCTAAACCTCTGCTGGTGCAACTAGAGGCCATTCCCTCTCCTCCTGTCCCTGTTCCCTGGGAGCAGAGCCCGACCCCTCCCTGGCTGTCCCCTCCTGTCAGGGATTGCAGAGCCAGAAGGTCCCCCCTGAGCCTCCTTTTCTTCAGGCTGAGCCCCCCCAGCTCCCTCAGCTGCTCCTGCTGCTCCAACCCCTTCCCTGGACACATTCCAGCCCCTCAGTGTCCTTCCTGTGAAGGGCCCAAAACTGCTCCCAGAGCTGGAGGTGCCCCAGCAGTGCCAGCACAGGGGTGGGCACTGGGATGTTCCCCCTCCCAGGATGGCTCTGTGCCCCCTTGGCCCCTTACCCGGCAGTGCTGGAGTCAGGATGGAACCCGGAGAGCCTCTCACTGGAACCAGAGAGGAGCCTGGAGGGAGAGGGAAACTCTGTGAGCCACCAGCTGGCAGGAGAGGACCCACCACTGCTGCTGGGAGGGCACTTGGATGCTACAGGTGGGACCAAACCAGCTCCTTTTCTGCTTCCCTGGAGGAGGGATTTGGATCAAACAAGATCTCCCAGTGAGGACGGGCTCCAAGTGAGTCAGGCAGCTCCAGAGGGAAACAGCATGGGATGTGCTGCAGGAGAGGGGAAGCCAGGCCCTGGTGGCCAAAACCAACACCACTGTCCCCAGACCAGTCCTTGGAAAAGCTGCAGAAGGGGAAAGGTGGCAAAACTATGGAAAACAGCCCAGCCATGAGACCTGTCTGCCTTGCAGGGAGGAGGCTGCTCTTTCCTGGAGCCATTCCAAGGCTATCCAGGGATCCTGTGCCTCCTCTTCACACCCACAACACAGTGCCCAGTCCAGATCCAACACTCAGCCCCACGGTGGCCCCATACACGTGGGTGAGCTGGCACTGCCAGGAGGGACTGCAGGAAGCCCAGGGGAATGGTGTTCCATACTGGATAGCTCCTGCCCTGCCAACAGCCTTGTTCTGGCTTTCTGGGGTCACTGGTCTTGTCTCTCAACGTCTCTCTTCCCTTTGAGCCCTTTTTTCCTGCAGCAGAAGCCAATTCTTGGCCAGGGACCAGCTCTCCTTTCTCCTGCCCCTCTGCTCCAGCATCCCACATGGTGGGAAACCTCTGGAGAGCAGAGATGGATGTATCCCAGACCCTGTGCTGGGCAGTTTTTGCTAGGAATGCTTTAAGAGTAGATCTGTGCCTCAGGAATGGTTTCCACTCCCTGGAAACCATTTCTTTCTCTCTCTCTCTCAGCCCTTGGCTTTGCTTCCTGGCTTCTCCTCCCCAGCTTTCATGGAAGTTTCCCTCCCAACCCCCACGACTGCCCATTTACCTGGTGCTGTTATAGTTCAGGCTGTCCATGTAGAAGGGCACCCTGTGGCTCCTCTGGGCCATGGCCACGCTGGGATCTCTGGGAATGGACTCATGGCTATGGGAAGGAAGTGGTGCAGTCTCAGGCTCTGAACGTGCCCTGAGCACGTTGTAGTCCCTGGAATCCCCACCCAGCAGAGCCCACCGTGGCTCTGGCTGTTGATGATCTCAGAGGTCTTTTCCAGAGGGATTCCATGATTCCATGTGCATTCCCCCTGTGTGTGTGTGTTCCATGCCTGCCACACACCACATTCCATGCCCAGGAGAGCAGCCCCCAAACCCAACCCCTGAGCGTTAGGACATATCCAATGGATATATCCAAGATTGTTTCCTTCCCACTGCACCCCCTCCACGTGTATCCTGCTGCCAGCCCTGCCCATTTTCCCTTTTCCAAGCCAGAAATCCTTAGGGGAATGGCTTTAACCCTTGGGCACAGCTCAGGCTCCTTCCACAGGGAAAACGAGCCCGTGGCTGATGGTCATGAGAGGGCAGGGTTAGATGGGATACTGGGAAGGAATTCCTGGCTGTGAGGGTGTGGCAGGCCCTGGCACAGGTTGCCCAGAGAAGCTGTGGCTGCCCCTGGATCCTGGAAGTGTCCCAGGCCAGGTTGGAGCAACCTGGGATAGTGGAAGGTGTCCCTGCCCATGGCAAGGGATGGGACTGGATGAGCTTTAAAGTTTCCATCCCAAAGCATTCCACGATTCTGTGAAATGTTGTCTCCAACCCTCCCAGCTGAGCTGAGGAGGATCTCAAGACTCTCAGGAGGACGTAAATCCCAAAGCCTAGAGCTGCTGCTGGTGAGGCAGGAATGTCTTCCCCAACTTCCTCATGCTTGTCCCAGGTGCACAGTCCAGTGATTGGGATTCCATGATGATTTAACACCATTGCAAAATCCTGTTCTCATTCCTTGACCACACAACCCAGAGCAGAGTTTATGTCACATCATTCCAGGCCAGCAGCTTTCCCTGTCTCTGCATCTGAAACCCTCCCTCCCCAAACCTTCCCTCCCCAAACCCTCCCTCCCCAAACCCTCACCTCCTGGTGCTCAGCACTTGGCTGTCCACGTAGGCAGGAATCCTGTGGCTGGGAGCTGTCCCAAAGAAGGGCTGGGGGTCCTGGGACAGGGGCACAGGGTGCTGGCTCTCCTGTGCACTGGGAACACTCTCTCTGCAGCTGAAGTCAGACCTGCTGAAGGATTAAAACCGATGTGACCACAAAGCCAACGACTGTCTGTGCTCTGCTCCCCTCCCACAGGGGCTCAGGGAGCCAAGGTTGGATCCTGCCTCTTCCTACAGGCAGCAAGGAGAATTTGGGACACCATTTTGTTAAGAGAAACACAGAATGCCAAAAGAGTTTGGGTTGGGAGGGACTTTAAAGCTCATCCCATTCCACCAGGAACACCTTCCACTAGCCCAGGATGTTCCAGCCTGGCCTTGGACACTTCCAGGGATCCAGGGGCAGCCACAGCTTCTCTGGGCATCCTGTGCCAGGGCCTGCCCACCCTCACAGCCAGCAACTCCTTCCCATATTCCTTTGGTGAATATCACTGGATTAGGAAAATTTATGGGGGCCAGGACTTCAGCCAGGTGTGTATCAAGGAGCAGGAACGGCAAAGAATGATGGTTTGGGAGCCACTGATGGCAGAAACAAAGGGATATTCCCACTGTACCTGGCTGTCCCTGGGCCAGGCTCACTGTGCCTCCAGTCCTGGGGACCATCTGTGCTGGGGATGGTTCGATCCTCGTAGCCTGGAGTGATCCTGGGAGGGGAGGAAAGAGCTGTATCAGACCCAGAACCTGAGTCTGAGCCTGTTCCCCGAGGGAGGAAATGCAGGGACACCATGGTTATGGAATCCTAAAATTCCAGAATGGTTTGGGTTGGAAAGGACCTCAAAGATCATCCCATTCCAACCCCTGCCATGGGCAGGGACAGCTTCCACTAGACCAGGGTGCTCCAAGCCCTGTCCAACCTGGCCTTGGACACTTCCAGGGATCCAGGGCCAGCCACAGCTTCTCTGGGAAATCCATTCCAGCCCCTCCCCACCCTCACAGCCAGCAATTCCTTCCCAATATCCCATCCAACCCTCTGGCACTGGGAAGCCATTCCCTGTATCCTGTCCCTCCACCCCTTGTCCCCAGTCCCTCTCCAGCTCTCCTGGAGCCCCTTTAGGCCCTGCAAGGGGCTCTCAGGTCTCTCTGGATTCTTTTCTTCTCCAGCTGTCCCAGACTGGCTCCAGAGCAGAGGGATCCAGCCTGGGAGCATCTCTGTGACCTCCTCTGGACTCTCTCCAGCAGCTCCACATCCTTCTCATGTTCAGCTGCAACAATTCCTGTGTGAATCCCTGCAGTGCTGGGGGTCTGGGATGAGGGGGGGGATGGTGACTGCCCACCTGTCCCGGCGTGGCTCGGACTCGTCGGCACGTGGGGTCTCTGGAGCAGGGACGCTGCTTCCTCCAGGTCCAGAGCTGGACCTGCCAGGACAGGAGACCCTTCAGAGTCTGCAGAAGCACCCCTGTGCCCAGAATTCCTGTGGGATGTCGGTGCAGCCTCAAGGGAAGTGCAGTATCCCCCCATGGGAACGTGCCAGGTGGAATCATGGCATCAGATTGGAAAAGCCCTCCAAGATCATCAAGTCCCACCCTCAACTCAGCCCCAGCACCGCGTTCACCATGAAACCACGTCCCCAGATAATCCAGAGAGAAACAAGACAGAGGGAAAATCCAGCCCTGTTAAAAAACAGGGCTGAAAGGAAAGAGAAGTAAAGCTCCCGAGGGGCCATCAGTTCCCTTTTCCCAAACCTGACACCTGAACTCTGGGTGTTTAGTTATGACTATTATGGGTTGCCCAGTGCTCCTGTGTCACCTTTCAGCCCGTTCAGGGTGGCTCAGCAGGTGGCCTTGTTTGGGTGCTCAGCTCCCTCCTCCCAGCCTGGGGACTCCCAAGCCCCAACCACAGCACCCTCAGTCCCTCCTCCAGAACCCCCTGCAGTCAATCCCCCGTGTCCTCCTGCCAGGAAAAGCAAATCCCATTATTTCCCTTGCCTTCTTTCCGTGGATTCTTCGCTCTGCACGTGGAATGACATCCCCTTGTCCGTGTCCCTGCTGCCACCAGGGCTGTCCTGGGACCTGGGGAGAGAGAGGAACGCTCTGCTTTGCACCCTGAGCTGAAGATGCTGCTCGCTGAGACAAGCCCAATTTGACCAAAAACCTCAACTCTTTCAAATTTAGGGGGAAAAATAGGGACAAAAACAAATAAATTTCTTCCTGGAGAGGGTTGTGAAGCACTGGAAGGGCAGTGGTGGAGTCCCCATCCCTGGGAACGCTCAGACAATGGGGGGATGTGGCATTGGAGGCCACGGGTTGGTGACCAGGGTGGTGCTGCTGGTTGATGGTTGCACTTGGTGACCTCAGAGGTTTTTTCCAACCACAACCATTCCACGATTCCATGAAAAGAGGAGCCTGGGAGAGGATTTTGTGAGCGTGTGCACGTGGGGGAAGCCACACAAGGAATGAACCCCCATCCTGCAGGAAAAGGCAGGGGGGATTATCCAATTCCTTACCCAAGCACGCTGGGCTCATGGGCAGTGGGTTCCTGTGCCCTGGGCAGCTCTGGGTGGGCACCACGGCCAGGAGGTCCCTGGTCCCTCTCAGTGAGGCTGCTTGAGCCTGAAAACCTAAAATAAAGATCCATGATTAAGGCAGTGGAGAAAATCCCTGCTGGGGTGTGAGTTATTCCCAACATCCCAGGAGAGCACACACCCCAGTCAGCCCAGTCCTTACTCATTCCAGTGGGGCTGGAGCTGTGCTGGGCTCTCAGGACTCGTGAAGCTGCTCCTCTCCTCGTATCCCAGGACAGACCTGACAACCAGAAAAGGCCCAGGTCACATCCCTAAAAACTGGCTCTGGAGGATAAACTGGCACTGGAGGATCCTCTGCTCCCTGGGCAGGGCTTGTGCCAATCTGAACCAGGAGCTTATTTCCATTACAACACTTGCATTTCCAAATATTCCAGCTGCTTTCAGCTCCCTGCTGCCACTCCAGCATCCCTGAAACATTCCACGGCATTATCAGGGAATAAAAAGGCACTGACTGAACCCCAGCCAAGAGGAGGAAAAGTTTGGGGGGGGTGGCTCGTGTCATAGGAGATGGAGAGGGATTTAAACCTCAGTTGCCTCCATCCTTGGGACAAAAGCTGGGAGAAGGAGCCTCTTTCTGTGCCTGCCCATTCCAGTTTCCCTTAATCCTCAGTATTCCTCATAAACCACTGAACTCACCCCACTCCTACCTTTTAAAGGAATATTCCACGTCCTCTCTGTGCACAGGGACTCTCTCAGTGGGAGGAAAAGGGCCATCAGACTGCAAGCTGGACCTGTCCAAAAAAAACCAAGGAATTTCCAGCTTGACAGCTTTCCAAAGGCTTCAAGAGGGGGCTTGTATGGAACCACAACACTGCAGTTTTAGCAGCCCAGCAAACAGAAAGGAATTGTCTCAAGAGAACTGATTTTCCTTCAGAAAGCCCCATTTTCACTCTCTCTAATCCAGAAGAAGAGAGGCTGTTGGTGGAAAAGGGAATGAGGGACTGGGTTGGGTTTGGAGGGGGCTTAAAGCTCATCCAGTGCCACCCCCTGCCAGGGATAGGGACACCTTCCACTAGCCCAGATTGCTCCAAGCCCTGTCCTTCCAAGTGGCTCAGCTCAAGAGCTTTGATGAGCCAATCCATGGAGTCAAATCCCAAATAACAGATAAGTAAGGGAGAAAAGCAGCTCCAGGGAAATGAGTGTTTGCTGACAACAGCAGCAACTCTGTCCTGCCCCTCCCTGACAGTGGCAGGGCAGGAAATGCTCCAGAATCCTGTGGGATGGAAACACCTATGAGATCAGTGCTAAAAGCAGTGCTAAAGCTGCTGAACCTGCTCCCAGAATCCCAGGATCACCAGGGTTGGAAAAGCCCTCCAGGATCATCCAGTCCCCCCCTGTGCCCCTGAGTGCCACGGCCAGGCCTTCCCTGGACACCTCCAGGGGTGGGGACTCCAAACCTCCCTGGGCAGTTCCAATGCCTGACAGCCCCTTTCCATGAAGGAATCCTTCTAGAATTCCCAGGCTGCTTCTCTGGGCAGAAGCTGTGTAACAGGGAAGAGGAAGGCTCTGTTCCTGCTGTTTATCCACACGGGATTTCCGATTTCCAGTGCCTTTGTTGCCCAATGTGGATTCTGCTCCCAACTCTACCCTGGACAAGTTATTTATTCCCACCTCAGGTTCCCTCTGGGAGCAGATCCAGTGCCATCCCCAGGCTCTGATGGTGCAGGGTCAGACCTTCCAACATCCAGGGCAGGAGAGGGCTCGTAGTGATGGAGTAGCTTGTCCACAGCATCCACAGGCCTGTCCCTGGAATCAGAGCTAGACCTGGAAGAGAGGGAGATTGGTGGGTCCCAATAGGAAGCTCAGCAAGTTGGAGAACAGAGCAAGAAGCAAAACTACCAAACAGGAGATTTTTTCCTGTCTCCAATGTAACGTCTTTTCTTCCTGCTCAGCTCAAGGAATTTCCTGAAGGGTTGAGCCACAAATCCAACCAAGCCCTTCCCGGTGTCAGGAAAGCAGCTGGAGGATCTCAGTCCAATTTGAGTGCCCTGACATTTGTCAGTGCTGGGTCAGAAGACCCTCCTCAAGCTAAAATCAAGGAGAAAAGGTGAATTGTACATTTATTGGACACTTACTTGGGTGGGTAAAACCCATCGTTGGCTTCTGAGCGCTCGGGAAACTGCAGAGGAGAGACACAACTTCAGGAAGCAGCTTTGGGGAATGCTGTGCAATGATTTTCCTATGGATCTCGTAAAAGAAAGGAGGGAATCCCTAAATTTCCCAGGGCTGTTCATGTCCACAGGGAAAATGGCAAGAAACTTGTGGGAATTCAGCGCACGGGAAGTCCAAACTTGGTAACTGAACACCAGCAACACATCACAGATGCCATCTGGGAATGCAATCCAGGACTCTCCCCAAAGCAACAGGATGTCCCACAGCCCAGAGCTCCATCCCAGGCCCCTCCAGCTGCAGGTGAACACCCTGGAAGTGGCCAAAGCCAGGTTGGACAGGACTTGGAGCAACCTGGTCCAGTGGGAGGTGACCCTGCCCAAGGCAGGGAGTGGGACTGGATGGGCTTTAAAGGTCCCTTCCAACCCAAACCATGCTGTGGTTGATCTGGGAATCTGGGGCTCTTTTCCAGTGAGGATACAGATCCCTGGGAAGGTTGGGAAAGCCTGGAATGCTCTGCTGGGGCACAGGCAGGAGCTGAGCTGTGAGACTGAGATGTCCCTCAGTCTCCCAGGGGTTCCAGACCCCACTGAACCCCCAGTTTTCTGAGAGGGAAGTGTGGGCTGGGATGGAGCCCAGGAGATCCCCTGGATCTCAGCTTGTTACCTGGCAGAAACACCCATGGGAAAAGCAGGACAGGCCCTGGAGCTCAGGTGGTGCTCACACCCCCCAAGGACAAGCAGAGGGTGATGCTGGAATTCACTGGGGATCTGCACACAACAGCACTTCTGGGATCATGGGATCTTTAACCATTTCCCCAAATCCCTCAGAGTCAGGACACAGTTCCTCAGCACTGAACCTTTTGCTTTGCCATTTTACAGTTTCCTTTTGGGTTGGGGGTTTGTTGTGGGTTTTTTTTTTTTTAAAGGGGTCTCCTGTTGCAAAAGCAAATCAAGAGGTGGAGGTTGGAGGTTGAGAGAGACATTGAGTGTGAACTTCTCTGTCCTGCTAAACACAGAAACAAACTCCATTCCAGAACTGGGCTACATTTGGGAATAAACCTGGATTTTGTTTTGTATCACAGAAAGTTAAAAGGAACAAAATATCCCCCAATTCGATTGAAGAGGGCAGTGTTTTCTTTATTCCCTCCTTTAAATGAAATTTAGAGAAACTGCTGCCAGTTCTGCAGAGCCCACATTGAATGTGTTTTTCCACCAGCAAATATCCAGTCAGAGATTCCAGACAGCTCCAGAGCAGCAGCTGCTCATTTGCACAACATCTCACAGGGACTTTACCTTCCATTGGTGGAAGCCACGGTGGCTCTGTGGGTCTCATCCCATGGGAAGGGCTCAGGCTTTTCCTTCAGAGCTCTGTCACTAGAAAAAGGGAAATTGCAGTGAAAACGTGCCCTGTCAGCATTTCTGTTGGATCATTCCAGGACAATGTGCTGGTGTTTAGTTGGGAGGAGCCCAAACTGGGGCTAAATCTGTGTATCAGGATAGGAGGATCAACCACCTGAGCACAGAGGGCCTGACTGCAACTTATGGAGCATGGAATGGTTTGGCTTGGAAGGACCTCAAAGCACATCTTGCTCCACCCCCTGCCATGGGCAGGGACACCTTCCACTGGCCCAGGGTGCTCCAATCCCTGGCCAACCTGGCCTTGGACACTTCCAGGGAGCCAGGGGCAGCCACAGCTTCTCTGGGAAATCCATTCCAGCACCTCCCCACCCTCACAGCCAAAAATTCCTTCCCAATATCCCATCCAACCCTCTGGCAGTGGGAAGCCATTCCCTGTGTCCTGTCCTCCAACCCTTGTCCCAATCCCTCTCCAGCTCTCCTGGAACCCCTTTAGGCCCTGCAAGGGCTCTCAGCTCTCCCTGGATCCTTCTCCTCCCCAGGGCTCCCCCCAGCCCGACCCTATTCCCACCTTTCCCTCTCCAGCCCTGTCACGCTGTGTGTCCATGTCCTGCCTTCCCTGCCAACTCCTCCCTCTGCAGTTGGAGGTGGTTTCAGTAATGAGGCATCCCCAATTCCCCTGGGAGCCTGGCTCCAGTCAGGAGCAGCTCTGTGCCCCCAGTGACCCCGGGCAGGCACAAAGGGGGCCTTGTGGCTGGGCTGGTCCTGCAGGGACACCCAGGGACACGTCTGTGGCTCTCAGCTCAATGCCCACGACAGCAGCCCGGCCTCCACCTTTCCTGGAGCACTCCAGACTTTGCTCCAGCCTGGGATGACACTCTGGGGACATTTCCAGCTGGGCTGTCCCTGCTGGAGGTGCAGAGCAAGCTGTGTGTGCTGCACAGAGTCCTCTGGTGACCTCTCACAGCTCCTGGAGCACCACAGGGGAGGCCACAGGGGCAGCTCTGCCTGCTCCACTCTGGACCAGCCCCAAACCCAGAGGGCTCATCCTGGGAACAAAGGGAGGATGTATTTCAGAAACCACAGAATCCCAGACTGGGTTGTGTTGGGAGGGACCTTAAAGCCCATCCTGTTCCACCCCATGGGCAGGGACACCTTCCACTAGACCAGGTTGCTCCAAGCCTTGGCCACCCCTGGCCCTTGGACAATTCCAGGGATAGGGAGTCACCAATCCCCAGCCTCTCTGCAATTCTCCTGTGTGCATTGCACAGCACCAAGGAGAGGCAGATCCCTCTCTCTCAGGAGGGCCAGAACCTTCCCTGCCCTCAGCTTCCAATTCCCTGTGGCACCTGTCCTTGAGGAACCTCCTTCAGCCTTTACATCCCCAACCAGTTCCTTGTTCCTCAGGTTTTCCCCTTCCACACTTTCCCCCCCGCTCCAGATTTCCTACAGAGGCCCAGAACCCACATCAGCACGAGCCACCAGCCACTGAGGGTCAACACATCCCTTGCAGGTGGAAAAACTGCCCAGGGAATGGCAACTGGAGCAGGAAAATAAAATTAAATGCACGAACAAGAGTGTTGAGGGACCGAGGCAGGGAGCAGGATCCTGCAGGGAGCTGAAGGAAGGGTGCAGAACACTGACAAGCTGCAGCTCAGCCAGCAGATGATGCTCTTGGAATGCAGCCCAGGCTGGAGGGATCCCATCTCTGGGACACCAGGAGCAGGTGGATGCCATTCCTGAGCAAAGCCCTCGTGCTGAGCAGCCCCTCCCCGCTCCTTACCCGTCCCCACGCTGTGCCACAGCTTCCCAGGAGGATTTCCCGTTCAGGGCCTGGCTGTCCTCACCATTCCTGCAAGGAAAACACCAGGCACTGTGAGGGAGGGGGATGAGGGGCAGGGACTGGGGGCAAATAAGAGCAGATTCAAAGAGCTGCAGGTTTGGGCTCCTTTCCTCAGCACAGAGAACCAGGAGATGCCCAAGCTGTGGGAACGTTTCCTCCCGGGTTGCTGATGCTTTTGGCAGGTGCTCCCCTCCTCAGATCCCTCCGCTGCCTTCCTTGCTGTGTCCTGGATGTGTCTCCAGGAAAAACCCCTCCCCAAGCAGAGCCAAACGTCCCTTTCCACCCTCAGGAGGACCCACCTGATCCCAGCAGAAGGGGAGCTTCTCCCTGGGGATTCCCTCAGGGATGGGGATGTTTGGCTCCTGCCCTCTGTTGTGGGGCTGCAAGAGAAGGGAAAGAACAAGGATGTCACTCCTGAGCCAGGCAGCTCCCACTGCAGCTGCCCAGAAGTGCCCTGCTCGAAGAGTCCCTTCTGGGAACGGGCAAAGTTTCCCTTTCACGTCCTGAGCTTTTCTACCGGGAGGTCGCGAAATCCTGGGAGGACACGACGTGGATTTTAGACATCAAACCTTTTTAAAGCAGCTCTCTGCATGTAGGAAAAGGTCTCCCGTGTTCAAGGCAGACAGATTTGGGTCATTTCCCCTCCCAGAGGGGAACTCCCCAACCTACAGCCCCCGAAATGATCCCAGATACCTGGCTGTGCTGCACTTACCTGGAGGGAGAGGCTGCTGCTGCCTTTGGCTCATCCCAGGAAGATCCAGGGGTGGTTTTCCTTAGCCCATTAGCACTGACAAAACCCCCAAAAAACAAAGCATTAAAGACAAGTGATTTTTAGGAGCTTTTTCCCCCGTGGGGGTCCTGCTTTCTGACCCACAGCTCTTGTCTCTCTTTGGGTAAGACCTCCCCGGGGTGTCCCTGTGCTGCTGGGACTCACACCTGCCTCTCTGCTCAAATACCCTGGAAAAAAACGACCTGTAAAACTGAAAAAATCGGCTTTACAAACTGATTTTTCCCATTTGCCAAAGCTGCAGCTCTCCCTATGCCCAGCCTGTGCTTTTGCACAACAAACCCCTCCACAAAATGCACAGATTAAAGCTCAAAATTCCCCAAAACTGAGTGATGTGAGGGGAGGAGGGAAACTGCTTCCCAGCCTTGCCTCAGCCCCCCAGCCTGTGCCAGCTGCTCCTGCCCAGTGTGGACTGAGGGGGGTGGCCCTGCTGCCCCCCAGGTCTGGCATTCCATGGCAGGAACATTCCAGGTTGTCCACTGGCCCTGGGAGAGGGACTGGGGCCAACACCTGCCCTCAAAACCAAGATCAAAGATGATGAACCTCCCATATCCCCCCCATCCCAGCAGAAATAATTCAATCTCAGGTCTGAGAGAGCAGAGCTGGCTCAGGGGGTGGGAATACCAGGATATGGAGTATTTGGGATGCAGGTGAGGGGGGCAGCTCACACAGCCAAGCTGGGCACGAAGGGGAAACCTTTGCTGGCTCAGGGCTGGGTGAGGGTTGCTCTGACTCCTCCTGGGAGTGTCTCCCCTCAAGCTCCTGGTGGAGACAGGAACTGAGGGGGCTGGGGAGGGAGATCAGGGAGGGCTCAGTGCCAGGTTCTGCCCCTTTGACTCCCTGAGAGGCCTTACCGTGGCAGTGAAATGTTAAAGTTGACATCCAGGGCCGTTTGCCACCCCCAGGGCCGTCTCTTGGCACTCCGTGATGCCACCCTGCCCCTCTGGCTGCCCCAAGAGAGCTGAGCCCATGATTCACCTTGGATTCCCTCCTCAAGGAAGGACAATCAGGATTTCAGAATCATGGAATCACAGAATGCTTTGGGTTGGTGGAGACCTTCAACACCTCATCCCACCCCCTGCCATGGGCAGGGACATCTCCCGCTGTTCCAGGTTGCTCCAACCTGGCCATCCCAGGGATGGGGCAGCCACAGCTTCTCTGGGAAGCCCCCTTTGCAAACCCTCCATCTCTGGTTGTGCTCAGGCAGCTGCTGCCAGGCAGGTAAATGCAGTTATCCCCAAAGCAGCGTGCCCTGGCACCCCTGGAATCCAGGCCGAGCAAGTACCTGCTGTCACCCGGGGAGAACCGGCGGGAACCCGGCACGCTTGGGCTCCTCCTCTGCTGTCCTTCCTCCTCTTCTATCTCAATCCTTTCCAAGGGGAAAAACAGAGACAAATATCACAGTTTCCCACTTTCCCTGGCTACTGCAGGCAGTGTGCTCCTGTTTTCCCTGGAGCTGGGTTTGCCCTGTTCCCCCTAGGACAGGTTGTTCCTGCTCCTCCTGCTGAGCCCAAGGGAGCCAGGCCAGTAACACTTTCACAAACAGCATCATCTGAGGGCTCCAATTCCAGAGAGAGGCATTTCCCTACCCCACTGACAGCTTTAGAAGTGGAATGCCTGAAGAGCATTCCCTGGCTGGCCAGAGTCAGATTCCCTGGAAGCACAAAGTCCCTCCGTGGCTCACGTTGCCCATAACCCAAAGCACCATCAGTGTGGTTTTCCCAGTGTTTACCTCACAAACCCCATGTGATCCAACCCCAAGCCTCCTTTTTAAGGGAATTGTCCTTCCTCTGCTTTGAAACACCCAGGATCTGCTCTCCCAGCATTTATCAGCAACCTAGAATATCCACATGAGCCATCCCAGCAGCGCTTCCCGAGGCTCCATGACCTACCTCTTGGCAAACAAGGGTGGGAATTCCTGTGTTGGGCTGCTGGGAAGGAAGGATTGAGGCAAGAGTTAGAAGTTTGGAGGGAAAAAACACACCATGGGCAGGGGCAGAGCCCCCAAAATCGCTGCCCCAGGGGGTGCAGAGTCCCATCACCCCCTTTGGGCAGAGCTGGCAGTGCCCAGGGGGGACAAACTGCAGATCAAATAACACAAATATAAATATACAAATAGGGAAAGTAGCTATTTATAACCTGGGGAGTAAAGAAGCTTCCCCAAAGAGCCTTTTTAATTGTAAATTGATACCAATTTTTAATTGTTGCTGTTCTTCCTGCACACAGACCTGGCTCTTCCCACAGCACACACTGCCCAGTGCTCCAGAGAAAACACCCTCAAAGTCCTTATGGATCCTGTCCAAGCACCTTCCACGTCCTTACACATCCTATCCAAGCACTTCTCCCACCCTGGGCACCGCTGAGTGCTGCTGGCACATCCCCCCCCTGCTCCTGCTGCCCCTCCCTCCCGGTGCCTCATTGTGTCAGCCCACAGTTATGTCAGGAGGAAAAGGATTTCTGGTGAAAGCAGCCTGCAAAAAAAACCCCAAACCACCCCATCACAGCTCCTGGGAGAGCAGAGACCTTGAAAATCTGCCTTTTTTTTTTCCCCTCCCAGGGAAGAGATGGACAGCAGAGCCTTGAGCACCAAGAGCTCCCACACATCCCCCAGGCTCCTCTGAGGTTCTTCCCTCCTGTGAACCCACACAGGGGGCTCTTTTTCCCCACAGAACTATTTTGAAGCTGCAGCTCAGATCAGGATCTCGTAAATGCAGCTCCTGTCCCAGCACAAACTGTCACGTGAAGCTGCTCCACGTTGGACACAGTTTATGTTTGTCCTGATTTTTCTCGTGCACTCAGCAAGGTTGGAGAGAGCAGCTTGAGAGATGAGGCTGAAAACTGGACTCCTGATGGCAGGGTTTTCCTTTTCCTAAAGTTTCCTCCCTCTCAGTGAGGAAGAGCTGGAGGATTTCCCCAGTTCTGCAGAAACCTGCAGATATCACAGAATCCTGGAATGGTTTGGGTTGGAAGGGATCTTAAAGCTCATCCAGTCCCACCTCCTGCCACGGGCAGGGACGCCTTCCACTAGGCCAGGGTACTCCAAGCCCTGTCCAACCTGGTCTTGGACACTTCCAGGGATCCAGGAAGCCACAGCTTCTCTGGGAAATCCAGTCCAGCACCTCCCCACCCTCAAAGCCAGGAATTCCTTCCCAATATCCCATCTAACCCTCTGTCACTGGGAAGCCATTCCCCTGTGTCCTGTCCCTCCATCCCTTGTCCCCAGTCCCTCTCCAGCTCTCCTGGAGCCCCTTCAGGCCCTGCAAGGGGCTCTCAGGTCTCCCTGGATCCTTCTCTTCTCCAGGTGAACCCCCCAGCTCTCCCAGCCTGGCTCCAGAGCCGCCCTTGCAGCATCTCCCTGGCACATCCTTGGCAGCTGCATCTTCACCATCACCAAGTTCCCTTCACCTTCAGAGCCTTGGGACAGACCACCATTCCTGTGAGACACCTCCAACAGCCCCTTCCCAGCCCCTGCCCCACCCTGGACACGGAGACTCACCCGTTGCTCTTCTTGGCTGCCGACAGGACGTAGGCGCGCTCGCGGCCGGCCGAGCGCCGCAGGACACTGTTGGCAGCCTCAGTCCTGCAGGGAGGGAGGGACAGGGTCACATCCTGCTCCTCCTCACCCTGGCTGCTGGCTGGGGAGCCCAGGAACAACCCAGAGAAGGTTGGTGCCGACCCTGATAGAGCTCCCACGCTCTGAGTCGCGGAATCGTCAAGGTTGGAAAAGACCTCCCGACCCTCAACCTGCACCACCACTGTGGTCACCTCTAAACCACCCCCTCCAGGGCCACATCCACGTGTTTATTGAACACTTCCAGGGATGGGGGCTCCACCACTGACCCCTCTTTCTGTGAAGAAACTGCCCCTAAAATCTGTAATCTCCAGCCAGCCAGAGCTCAGAGCAGTGACAGTGCCTTAACTCCTTCTTCAGTGTCATTCCTGCTGGACCACAGCCCTTCCACGTGGATGGGAAGCAGCAGGGGGGAAAACCAAATACTTCCTCTTGCAGGAGGGCAGAGGGAGCTTTCCAGTCTTTTTTCCCAGACTGACCCGGATTTTTGCAATATTGGATACCATGGGACAGGAAAATGGGAGACAGGACACGCTCTGTGCTCACACCTAGGGAAGGAGCACCAAGGCAGAGAGCAAATCTCTGAAAGGGCTTCTTGTGGTTCCCCCCCCAGGGGGCAAATGGCTAAGTTTTCATCTGTACAAGGCTTGTGTCTGAGCAAAAGGGGCTTCAGAAGCTCAGCTGGAAGCAACAAGAGCAATCAGACACGTTCTTGTCCACGTTGTGGCTGCCTCACCCCTGGAAGTGTCCAAGGCCAGGTTGGAGCAACCTGGGCTGGTGGAAGGTGTCCCTGCCCATGGCAGGGTGTGGGACTGGATGGACTTTAGGTTCCCTTCCAACCCAAACAATTCTGGGCTGATTCTACGATCCTGCTCCTGCGATGAGGGTGACAGACCTGCCGGGATGTGGCCTTGGATTCCAGCCCCTGAGTGATCCCGACCCCGGGGCAGGGAGCTGGGTCCTGCCAGGCTCTTTGTACATCTCTGCCTTCTCACTAGGACACAAGGCAGCCCATGGATTCCACAGCCTTTCCCAGCTGCCCAATTAATTGGGCTGTGCTGTCAGGTTGGATCATGTCAGGCTTTTAATTACATTTTGTTGAGAGGGCAGTGGCCCGTGGGCAGAACTGGGCTCGGAGCAGAAATATCTGCTTATTATTATTATTATTTTATTACAAACCAGCCCTAATGGCTCATCCATGTCATTCCCAGGAATGAACAGCCCAGCTGGAGAGAGGCCACTTGTCCCTGTCCCTGCAGGAACACGGAGGTACCTCCAGGACTCACCTCTTCTTGTGTTCATCTGGAGAAAAAGGCACGTCCTCCTCATCCCCATCCACGGATCTCTGCCTGACGTTGTAAGGAGCTCTGCAACAGAGAGGGAAGGGCAGAGCCAGGGTAAGGGGCACCACCAGCACACAGCTGAATCCATGGAACTGGTTCAGATCCTGGGAAACACTTGTATTATCCACGTGCACTGGGGTGCTCCACGTCCCTGCAGGGTTTTGTTTCCTTCCTCCAGCCCCATCCCAGAGCAGAGCCACACGAAAGGCTGTGCAGGCACTTCCAGCAGTGCAGCCCTGCCACAAGGCTCCTCCTTGCTCCAGCTTTCAGGAAGCCCAGCAATGCTCCAAACCCAGTTCCCAGGCTGCACCCTCCAGTTGGGATAAAACTCCCTCCCTGCAAAGGCCAGTCCAAGGAATGCTTGATGGCCATGAAGGCCCTGGGAGCCACTTTTTTCCAGTGGGAGCTCTGGAGGCTTCCTGGGCACCCCTGTGCAGGTGGCCTTGGCACTGAGCAGGGACTGAGAGGGAGCTGCTCCCTCTGCACACTCACAGTTTCTTGTAGTCCTCAGTGGTCATCCTGTACCCAGAGGGGGACCGGCCCGGGCTCTGTCCCTTCGTGGAACTGCTGCAGGAGGCACAAATCACACCCATCAACGTGACCCTTCCCCAGGGGAGCTCCACAGGGTGGAGGAAAGCAGGGTCACCCCAAACATCCACCCTCACTAAATGCTGTTTAATTGAAGAGCAGCATTTGCCTCCTTTTTAGGATTTAGGACTGGGAGCTGAGGTCTGCTTTGCTTCCCTGGGGATATTGTGAGCTGTCGAGCTGCTGTGGGCATATCCTGCTGTGGGATTGGGGGATTCCATCCCAGGACCTTGTGGCATCACCCTTGTCCCCCAGATGAATCAAAACAGGGGGGAAGCAGGGCTAAAAAGATTTGGCTCGAGATGAAAGAACACACTTCTAGAATCACAGAACCATGGAATGGTTTGGGTTGGAAGAGACATTAAAGATCTTCCAGTGGGCAGGGACAACTTCCACTCAACCAGATTGTTCCAAGCCTCATCCAACCTGGACACTTGCAGGGGTGGGGCAGCCACAGCTTCCCTGGGCTCAGATCAGAGGCACCCTTGAATCTGACTTGGCAGGATCACAAATTTAGTGCCTTGCACAAAACCCAGTTTCAAAATAACCCCCAACCAACCAACCCCGTTAAAAACCACTGACATCAAGGGTTACAGCTTTGCAAGGATTCCTGGTGGTTTGTTCCTCACCCTCCAAACTCTTGGCCAAATTAAACCCCCAAGTCCTTCTGCAGGGAAGGTGAGGAACACATGGAGTTTGAGCCCAGAATTCCATAGGGATTTCGTGGAGCTCTGGAAGCCCACAAGCACTGGACACAAGCAAGAGGATGGCCAGAAACATGTTCCAAGTATTTAAAAGCTCCTTTTCCTGGAGAGGGAAGACACACAGGTACCTTTTCTGTGCTTGGTTAGGAGAGGAGGAATCCGGCGCGGCCGAGGCCTTGTCGATGGTCCTGGTGAACACCCCCCTGGGGAGGGAAGGGACAGCTTCAATTTTTGGTTGGAAAACATCCAGAACTAAGCCCAAACTACCCATTAAACAACAGGACTGTCTCTTCAGCAAGGCCCCCCCTGGGTGTTGTGTTCCCAACCAACAGGACCCAACAGAGGGGACTGTTTTTCCTGCTCGTTGCTCCTGATCCGGCTCTCCTTCCCCCACAGCCCAAATTTATCCCATTCCATACCAACCTGATGAGGTAACCGGACTGGGGCTTGGAGGAAGGTGACCTGTGCAAAGAACAGACATCAGTGAGTCAAGAAAAACAGGGAAAAACAACAACAGCAGCACCAGGTTAAAAGGGAATGTCCACGTGAATGTCACACCAAAAATCCAGCTCAGCAGGCCTGGAGGGATCCCAGAGCTGCTGCACCTGGGTCAGCCTTGGGAGGGTTCTTTAGAAATAAATGGTCATCAAAACAAGCCCTAGAAAAGATTTTTATTTTTTTAATAAGAAAAGTGAATTTTAGAATTTTCCACTGGCTCAGAGTTAACATCAGGGTGAGGGCACAGAGGGGAGAAGTTGGACGTAATCGAGATCCTGGTTGGTTTATCCCTGGAAAACAAGTTCATGTGAACTCCTCTGAGGGTCCATTCCTGGGAAGGCAGCTCCTCTGGGGGTATCCTGTCTCAGTGCTACAAGAACTGGCAAGAGCTGGCACAGGAGAAGGGAGAGCAAGCAGGAAACTGCTCCTGGGAGAGGGCAGTGCTGTCTCCATCCCTCCCTCCACCCACCCCTCTCTCCCTCCCTCCCCTCTCTGCCCTCTCCATGGTGACAGTTTCCAAGGCATTCCACAACCTCTACAGAAGATTTTCTTAGAGGAGCAGTGAATTTTAGAGTTACCCAGTTAAAATCAGCCCCACTGGCAGTGCCTTCTGGCTCAAAACGAGGCCCCAGCACAAGGCAGGGTCTCCCCAAGGAGAGACAATCCCAGCAGGGAGAGGGTTTGGGGAGGGGAAGAACCACTGGAAGCATCGACCCCCTGAGAGGGGAAGGGACAGGATGGATCCCCAAGCCAAGATGGACCCCCAGAATTACCTGTCATTCTGGGGAGCAACAGGTTTTGGGGCTGGGGATCCCCCACCGGCCCGGCCAGACCTGAGGGAGGAGAAAACATCATTAATTGATGGTCTGGCTGAAGGTGGCAATGATGGTTTTGGAGAGAGCTGGAAGAAGAGATGGATTTGGGCTTGGGTTTGGTTCTAATTCCAGAGAAGCTGGTGCAGCCTGGGGTTCCCTGGCACTGTGGGGGCTGCAGGGGAGGTGTCTGATCACTGAACTCCCTCCCAGCCAGGTCTGCCCTGTGTTTGTCACTCTGGAGATGGTGAAGCACTTCAAAAAAATAATGTGGAGTTCTCCTAAGGCTTCCAGCGTGCCTGTGCTGCTGGATTCCTTCTGCTGGATGCTTCTCCCCAGCCTGCATTTATCCAAAATAAAATAAGGAGCAGCACTTCCTTCTGGCCCTGTCACTGCCTGGCCCCTCGGGGACCCCAAAACACGTCAGCACCACATCTGCTCCTCCTGCAGCTGGAGAACAGAGGGCTTGGACAACCCAGAGCTCCAGGAGTGCTTGGACAAGGTGGGACTGGTGGGGTGTCCTGTGCAGGGCCAGGAGTTGGACTCGATGATCCTTGTGGGTCCCTCCCAACTCAGGGTGTTCTGTGGTTCCACTCACGGGAGCAGAAGGGAAGGGAAAAGGGATTACCCTCATGGAAAGGGAAGGAGAAGAGGAGCACCCCCCTGGCCACACTTACAGGGGGTTGCTCTTCTTTTCATCCTCAGAGTCCGAGTTGTGGTGGTGGATCCAGCTCTTGTCCCCTCTCAGCGTGGTGCGAACCTTCATCTGCTTGATGATCCTGCGCCGGTCCTCGTCCGTGGGGGGGAGGATCCCTCCTGGACAGCCAAGGGAAGGCAGGAGGGAGGGCTGAGAAAGGGCAAGGCCTCCCAGGAGCAGCAGGAGGGAGGGGATGGAGGAGCAGGAGCACGGGGCTCTCTCCTTCCCGCCAGAGATCCCCACGCCGGGCGAGTCTTTTTCCACTTCCAATGGAAGATGGAGACACGAGGTCATCCAGACCTCAGGATCAGCTTATCCTGAGGCAGCTCCTCCTCTGCAGGGTGTTTTCACACCTCAGCACTCTCAGCCTGCCCCAGCTGAAGGAGACACTTCCTTTGGCTCCTCATTCCCACATTTCCATCCCCAAGCTCACTTTCAAGTACACGTTATCCAACAGAATCTCCCTAAATCTGGGAATGTCCCCTCATCTCCACCCTCCTCCTTCTCTCTGTCCAGGCAACCAACCACAACTACACTCTCTGGTTGGAAAGGTCAGCAGTGCAATGAAACATAAAATTAAAATGTGGGGAAAAACAAAAAGTTTATGGATTAGGAGCTGCCAAATCCTCCCAGCGGGAAACAGATGGGGTGAAAACAAAAAAAGCACAGGTTCGTGGGGAGGAGTAATAAAGGCCAAAAATATTGGGAGCAGACAGGGAAGGAGTCAGGAAAAGTCTCTGCCAAGGGAAGGAAATGTGCAGGTGATTGGTGGGAAGGGCTTTGGTCATCCCAGAGTGCCAAAATCCTGCTGGATCAAACTGATTGCAGCTGGATGTTTGAGAGAGAGAGAGGTTGAGAGAGATAAACAGGGGCATTTTAGGTGGCATTTTTAGCTGTTTTCCCATGGAGAAATTGGAAGATGAGGACCAGATAAGGAAATCTCCTTTCCCGTGTATTTCTGACTATTTTCCACCTTTTCCCAGTCTGGAAACACCTGCTAAAGGCTGAAAACGGAGCCTGCTCTGCTCCTCACACTGCACCCAGTGACCTTGGACAGCCTGCCCTGAGGGAGCTGAGCAGGGACATCCAGCTGAGCTGGGGACACGAAGGAGAGGCAGCAGAGGGAAGGAATTACCTTTACTGACACCCAGGGACATCATGGTCACAGCAGCACCTTACCCTGCAGACACTGCCTGAAGCCAACAAACCCCTGGAAGAGACGAAAAGAGGGACAGTTCAGCTGTAAAAACCTTTGTGGAGGGGACAGCACAGCCACAGTGTCCCAGCCACAGAATCTGGAGGGGTTCTGGGACACTCTGCTGCTGTCCCAGAGAGTGGAATCACAACCAAACACAAACCAAAAGTCGGGGGGAAAAAACTGGTCTGTTCAGATTCTGCCACACTATTTTTTTTTCCTCTCCGACAAACAAATAAATGAATAAAAATAAAAAAAACAACCCTCACAACTGGCCCAGTGTTTGGGGATGAGTGGGACACCTGATTTGTCCCAAATGGTTCTTTTCTTTTTCCACCCCCTAATTTTTTTCACGGAAGCTGGGGCATGAACCCTCGTTTCAGAGGAGAAAACCAGGCACAGACTGGGTTGGGTTGGAAAGCTCCTCCAGTTCCAACCCCCTGCCATTGGCAGGGACACCTTCCAGCTTTTCCAACATACCCCCCTCCCCCGCAGTGTTTCCTTGCCAGAATCTCCTGGATTCTGGAATGACTCTGCTCCTCGGTAATGAAAAGGCCCAACCCTCTTCAGGAAAGCCTAAAATGAGGTTGTTATTCCCTGCTGGTGGGCTTGTCCCTGCAGAATTCCCGCGGTTCCACACGCCCAGGAGGAATTCCAGGCACTGATCTCACGGCATTGCTGCTTGGCAAAGGCTCCTCTCGGCCAGAGCTCTCCCCACGGCACAGCCCCTGCTCTGACATCATGGATCAGCTCTGCCATCACCCCGAGGCTCCCAGTCCTCCTGCAAACATTCCCAAACATTGGTCCAGCTCCCACCGGGAGCAGCCAGCCCACCCCTGCTCATCCTTCCTGTGGAAATTTAATAAAGGAAAACTCATCCTAAATATCCAGGAGGAGCCTCTGAATACTTGAGTGTCTCCTTCCTGAAGGTGGGAGAAGTGGCAGGAGCCATCAGGAGCACAAAAATTCCTGCAATCTGGCAAATCTGGGTTAAAAAGGAATCACAATCCTTGGAGCTCCCTGAGTGAGGCAGATTCAGACACAGCCCATCAAAGCCCATCCCTGAAGCATCCAAAGCCAGGCTGGAGCAACCCGGGATAGTGGAAGGTGTCCCTGCCCACGGCAGGAGGTGGAACTGGATGGTTTAAGGTCCCTTCCAACCCAAACCAGTCTGGGATTCTCTCACCCTCCCTTGGTGCTCTCTTCTCCTTATTAAACTCCTTCTCCTCCACAAAATGAAGTGGAGGATGGGGAGCAATGGAAAAGAACCATCCAAAATGTTTCATCCATTCCTTTTCCAGTGCAAATCAGGGGGAAGGGAAAGGCTCCACCTGCCGTGGAATGGAGGGATCTGGAAGCTGAAGGGCAGAGCGATTCCCAGGTGGTTCTCCTCCAGCAAAGAGCTTTTGCAGGAATAAGGAGAGGAAAGACTCCGGGGAAGGGCTGGAGCGAGAGGAACAACATCTCTATTGCTCAAACAGAAACTTTGCTTCTTACTCACCCCATTCCCCGCCCCCCCGGATCCACCCGAGGGGATGGGAAGCCACAACGGGTGTCAATGGCACGGGGATAAAAACGTGCCAGGACCCACACGTGTGCCGAGCCTCTCCCTCCGGCACCACCTTCCCTGTTCCCACCCCCGCGGATCCCGGGAGGGGCGGCACCAAACCCTGTCCTGCTGCTCCCCCGGCATTCCCGCTGGGACCAACAGGAGGAGCGATGGGCTCTGGTGCCTGCGCTTCCCAGCTCTGAATCCCGGCGGGACGTCAGGGATGCTCCAGGCCAGGAGCTGGATGGTGACCCCGAGCGGAGGGAGCCACCAGGACACACAGACACCCTTTGGGGTGTCCTACAGCTCTGGCAGAACTTCCCAGGGAGTTGGAGCTGCTCCCCAGCGGAACAGAGGGGGCCGGAGGGAAACCTTTGGCAAATCTGGTGGGACACGTGCCCAGTTTGTCCCCTGTGCTGGCACTGCTGGGGGACACTGAGGGGCTGGAATCTGTCCAGGGAAGGGGCTGGAGCAGCAGGAGCAGCTGAGGGAGCTGGGGGGGCTCAGCCTGGAGAAAAGGAGGCTCAGGGGGGACCTTCTGGCTCTGCAATCCCTGACAGGAGGGGGGAGCTGGGGGGGGTCGGGCTCTGCTCCCAGGGAACAGGGACAGGAGGAGAGGGAACGGCCTCCAGCTGTGCCAGGGGAGGGGCAAGGTTGGATTTGGGGAAAATTTAGGAGGTGGAAGCATGGCCCAGCACTTGGGAGGAAATGAGAGGAAAAAGGGGAAAAAATGGCCCCACAATGATGCTTTGGGGCAGGAAACATGTTTGGGGCACTCCAGGTCCCCGTGGCTACAACATCCACCCCGTTGCTGCCAGGGAGCTCTGGGGTGCACAGGAACTTCCAGAGCTCCCTCCCTCCGGCACCCTCGGGTGGCTGTTCCCTGAAAACCTGGGATGTTTATCCCCATTCCCCATGGAGATTTTGAGGGATGAAAGGCCAGCAGGTCCAGCTGAAGGGTTTGTCACCTTTCCCACTCCTGTCCCTGCCCCAGCCCTATCTGTGTCCCACAGGATCCCCATTTCCCTCCTGGATTTAAACCCCATGCACATGGAATTCCCCAGCTCTGCAATCCCCACTACAGCAAACTCTCTTCACCACGTGAAGACCTAAAATTCCTCTGCCTCAAACCAGATCCATCCCTTCCCTCTTGCCTTGCAGCTCCCAAATAAGCTCTGCCAAGCCAGACACATCTTTTCCTCCTCTGTTTCTCCCTTACTTCCTAGAAAATCCTGCTCCTCTGTGACCAGGAATATCTCTGGTAGAAAGGCCAGACAATAAGTATATTTTAGCCACCAGGGCTGCTCAGGAATGTAGATTTTTCTCCCAGATATTCCCTACCAATATAAAATCTAGGGCAAAAGAAATCCATTTAAATAAAATCCCTTCTTCCTCTCTGTATTTATGGGGAAGGTTTTCCATCAGAAGGGCTCCCTTTAGAGCCAACTGCCTCCTCTGAAGTGTCTGCACACCACGGGCCTGGATCTTAATTAGCACCCTTGGGTGCCATCGTTATGCAAATGAGCAATAACGCTGCTCCCTTCCCAATCCAAAGGGTTCCTGCCCCGTTAAGCCTTGCCCAGTTCACTCTGGAATGGCTGCACTGGGAAGGATCATTCCCTTCACACACCTTCCCTGCACAACCTCCCTCTGGATGGATGTTTCCCCCCGGGGATCCTGGAATAAATCCAGAATTCCAGCTCCCCCCTCTGGAAAGAGCCATGAGCAGTGAGGAGCAGGACTCCCCCCTGTTTCCCAGGATGAATTCCCACAGGAATTTTTTCATCCTCTGATCCTTGAAACCCCCAGATTATAAGGACAAGCCATTCCTGAAAATAAGCCAGGAAAGGCTAACCTAGGATGGTCAGTCCCCAAGCAGGGAAGGTGTATCCATAAGGAATGCACCTGGAAAAACATGGGGAAAAAAAAAAAAAAGGGAAGAGCCCTGAGCTGTCCAAGGAGTGACTGGGAACACCATGTTGTGAGAGGGGTTAAATCCTGCCTGGGCCTGAGGAAAGGAAATCAAAATTAAATGAAAATGGAGGGAAAAAATCCCACATTGTTTGGAGCCATAAAATGAAAACATTTCGTTACAAAAGGCTGAAATTCGTTGGCTTTTTGTCGCTTCAGGTTTTAACTCCCTTTTTCTTTGGGAACAAAAACTTAGTGGAGCTTGCAGGGATTTTTGAAAAGGTGCAGTGTTGCTAATTCCAAAAAAACCAAAGGAAAGGGTGCCAGTCCAACCTTGGAGCTGTCTCAGGTTCATCAATACCAGCCCACATTCCCAAGGCAAAGCAGCTGCCAGCTAAGCCTTCCCAAAGTATTCCAGCTCCCTTTATCCCACTGCTATCCAAAAAAACCAACCCAAAAGCCCCTCAGAAGACCCTTCTGAAATTCCCCAAGTGCTCTCCCAGGGGATGAGCTGAGCAGGGGGGCACGTGGGGACCCCTCAGCCTTTGTCCTGTGCTGCTGGGATAGGATACCTGGACAACTCTGCTCTCCCAAACTTCCCTCCTCCACTCCCTGTTGATCCCAGGGTGCTCCTTCCCCTCACACCTCTGTCACCTTTTACCTCTCATCTCCTTGTTTTCCTTCCCTCTTGCTGGATGTCCACGGCCAAAATTCACACAGGTGGGCACCTGGTTGACTTCCTGGGATGTTTCCAGTGTGGATTCCAGTGGAAAAACAGGCTCAGCTGAAGCTGCCACCAACCCCTTGGTGCTACAGGAGCCACACTCTGAGCCCAGCAGAGCCAATTTTAAATCCACCTCCTCTCCCAGAGCCCTCCTGAGCCCTTTCTGAGACAGAACCTGCCCAACTTCCAGCCAATTAAACCCCACTGGCCTCTCCCCTCCCTCAGGAATGTGGCACAGGTGGAGCTTCGTGCCAGGTGTGGTGGATGATCCCAGTGATCCTCCAGGGAGAGCTTCTTCCCTTCTCCATGGGCTGTGAGGGGTGATTTCAGGGAGCAGCAGGGATGGATTTGGCCTGGGCAGGACAGTTCAGCACCCCCTTCATTCTGCAGAGTGTCCCAGGGGGATTCCAGGCCTGCCCCTCATTTCCAACTGCTTCCCTCTCCAGCCCTTCCCTATAACCAGCACCAAAATTTGGGATAGTGGGATACCCATCCCTGTTCCTTCTGGCTGAATCCCCTCATCCTGGAGGGCTGGATGAGCACAACCAGCACTCAGCTTTGGCCACCACGCTCTGGGATGTGACACTGGGATGTCCCAGGCAACAGGAGACCCGTAAAAATGGGAAATTGCCGCTGGCAAAGCATCCACCACGAGCAAAGAAATAACTGCTCTGCCCCTGCAGGGCCAAAATCCCACCAGAGCCTGCCCTGAGCCTGCACACCGCAGGCACTCCAGAGCTCCCCGTGCCGGGAAGGAAAGCAATTACAAGCCATTTAATTA